GTGGTAAGAGAGTGAGATGTTGAATATAGGAAACACATGGTTGTAGAACCAGGATATATATATGTATATATATATATATATATATATATATATATATATATATATATATATATATATATATATGTGTGTGTGTGTGTGTGTGTGTGTGTGAATTTAGGTAATATATTATCTAAAACATTATTTCTTATTAGTATAAAGGTTAAATTTAGTGGATACAAGTTTCTTTTTATACCCACCTGTTCTTGCGAACAGTGAAATTAATGCCAACTAGCTTAGAGATTGAATGTCTTGCTACATAAAACGTATCCCTGAACAGCATTCGAAAAGCTTTTCTCTTTTTATTCTTTTGTGGAACTGTCCTATTCCGTTCTTAATCTAACAGAACAATTTCTTTCCATGAAAGCTTAATGTATGGCACGGTTTGGAGAATGTTACCAAGATACTTTGCCAGCGATGGGTGTGTCGTATTCGGTTCCTAATCAGGGAAACCCCTTTCTTTTAAGCCAAGCTTAATGTTATGGCATGCATATATTTGGAAAGTATCAAAGATACTTCCCAGCAAAGGACGTGTCCTGTCCGGTGAAAACCTTTAGACGTTTGCAATTATTTGGGTCTAAAATATTTTGTGTGGGCAAACACTGGGAATGACAGAAGTGATAATTCTCGTACCATTTTTGTAATAAATTGATCCTGATATCTACAAAATATTACAGTTCTCGTATATTATCTGTCTTTCGAAAATCTCTTATTTCAAAATATAAAATACTTGGGGAACGAAAATTGTCGGATGTTGTCAAAAGGCTCTGCTACAGATCTTATCGTATGCGCATGATTTAGTGCCATCATTGCCATGGTTGTTCAGATTTCAAAATCATACCGGGGTGAATAGTAGTTTTGTCCCCATTCCGTGGGAATAACTTTCCACCAATTTCTCTCTCATTATCACTCTTTCTCTTTCTCCTTCTCTTTCTGTTTCCTTCTCTTTCTTCCTTTCTCTCTCTACATATCTTTTTTTTTCTATCTATCTATCTATCTATCTATCTATCTATCTATCTATCTATCCTTCGTTAGATATATCTCGTTTTGTTTTTGAGTATCAGGAATGAGGCGTTATTATGAGATCATTAAAAAATTTTTTGTCTAATATTCATTGTTAATATACAATGACCAGAACTTGACATTTTGGCGTTTGTTTTTGGTGCTGATTTCTGGTGTGTTCGAGACTGAAACTTTTCATTGTTCAGCTACGAGTCAGACTTTGTTCAATGTTGACGTTTTGTCCTCAAATGAACGCCTTAAAGATGGAGGATGAAAAATTGTACTTACACCATCTGCTCAATGAATTCCAAAAAGGAATAAACGTCGGTACTTCAGAAAAAAAAACATTCAGGAGGGTTATTTGTATCGTGATCCAGATCTTCAGACGCTTAAAATGTGGTTTGGTAGATTTCGTCAGGGTGATTTTAACCTAAACGATCAACCAGGCTCGTGGCGACCTCTTGACATCGATGAAGGCGCACTCTTTACCATTGTGAAGAATAAACCACAGATTTCGACGGAAGAGATTGCTAAGAGTTTGAAAATCGATATCTCAGTTGTCTTTCGCTATTTAAAGAAACTTGTGTTCTAGAAGAGGTTTCATTTTACACCACGACAACGCAGGACAGCATGGTAGAAAATGGACTTTGCAAAGCCTTAAAGAGTAAAAATTGAAAATCCCCAAAACCCAGCACCCACTGTATTCTCTTGACTTTGCTTCTTCAGATTAACAGTTTTTCCAATCTCTAGAGAACAATTTAAATGATAAATATTTTACCCTCTAAATCAGGGATTCCCATACTTTTTTTTTCTCTGGTCCGCATTTACAGAATTAAAATTTGCTCGCACCGGACGAAATTTTATGTGATAAAAATGACATTTAAAGATAATAACAATATATAAAAACAGAGCACGATAAGGGGAGATAATCACAGATTAAAAGTCAGAACATTATCATTGATAACTCTCTCCGTCAATTTGCGGATTCTAATTACTATATTCTTAATATTTGATATAATACAAGAACATTAATGTTAAAATCAATATTTATTTATAACTATTTATACTGGATGTCATGCATACAATTACAAGTAATCAATAATAATATTTTTAATTTTGAAATCATATTTATTTTTGGCATAGTATGTTTTAAAACTGTTTTAAATTTTTGATTGTCTTTCAATGATTGTCTCACCTGATATCATCTTTCGTCGCACCGATAAGGCACGCCGAATCGTTTGGGGACCACAGTCAGTGGAAAATTACCTGACAACCATCTTCCAACAAAAACACGAAGTGTCTACGAAAATAGCATAAACAGGTGTGTTGAACAATGGAGATAATATATTTGAGTAATAATTTTTTTTTTTTGTAAGTATGTAAGGTTTTGTTTTTATATTTCTAATCGAGCACAAACTTTTGCAAGAATCTGATATTATTTACTTTATTTTATTTTAACGAGAGAGAACAATAAAAGAACAAAAAGATGGAAAATAACAATTATTAAATTTTATTTTTTGAACTTCAAATTTAACATGGAAACAAGAAGCCGGAAGAGAGTTCCACAATCAAGAAGTACGAGAGAATAAACTGTTAGAATAGAAGTTACGGTTACGTTTAAGCATTTCAACTGTAAAATGATGAAACCTTACCAAAAATCTAGTATTCTTCTTTTTCCCCTCAAAACGTAGCCGATCACAGCTCTCCACAATTTCCTGTCCATTGCAACTCTTATTAATTTCGTTTTTCTCTTTTGTCTTTGTATTTCTTCTAAACCCTGTTCCGCCATCCATTTACTCAAGCTCACTATGTTATGCGTTGTTTTCCATTGTCCATCTTGCCCTCAAACTGTCCTGTCAGTGTCAAATTTCCCGATCCCACATTCCTCATTATGTGGCTATAAACTTCAACTATCTTTTCTTCGGGTTAACACAACGTTCAAAATTTCAGCTGCAGTTGTAAAATAAATTGCAAGAGACTGACACGTATACAAAAACAAAATCCTCTCCGGTGGCAAAAGTCGCCAGTGGCACCAGTATAGCCTTAGCCACTGAAACAGAACATTCAAACCCTCGGTCACGATGACTTCTGACTAGCATTAACGGTTCCCAATTTCTACCCAGTTTTACTTACACGGATTGGATGAACCCGTGTATGGATTTCAGACATTTTCCAAATGTGCTGCGTGATATTAAAAAGTCACCTTCTTGACAAATCAACATTGATGATATTCGAACCCGGGTCTCATGATCAGAAAGCCAACGTTCTAACCACTTGGCCACTTGTTTGCTGTTAGGCGATAGAATAATGAAATACTCGAAATACCTTCTTTCCACACAATGGTAAAAGAATGGTTAGAAAGGAAACAAAGATCAATATTCGAAGACATAAAACAGTTACTGGAATACACATTTTCTTGAGAAATTTTTTTAAGAATTATTTTATTTTTTTATAAATTTCGATGCTGACTAGTTAGAATGTCTCATCTTTCCTGCATGGAAACGTTTTTCACGATTGCTATTCCGTCCTGGGTATGATGATAAACAACATCCACCTCCTGGGTAAGACGATAAATTACGTCCAAGAGCAAGGCCTCTGATCAGGAGGTTTTGAGAAACGTGGAACCACCTCTTAATTGCTGGTGTTCCTCGTTCCATCCTGACTCGGAGTGGTAGCATTTGTTAAGATCCCAGCTATGGGCAAATAATTAACTCTCAAACTGGAGACAAAACACTATGAAAGTTTAAAAATAGGTTTTAGTACCAGAAATACTTTGTAAAAAAATATTGCTAGAAATACATTTTTGAAAAACGAATATTGCCAGCGAAGGAAACTTATTACCAGAAATAGGAAAAAATATTATGGAAAAAAATGTTCAAAAATTTTGTCGGTATGAAATAATCCAATGAGGTTGATATGCCGTAAAACAAAACAAACCAAACAATTGCTATTATTATTTAGACAAAGACCTCTACTGCGTTTTGTTTAAATCTTAAGATTCACACATTTCGAAAAGAGACATCAGAATTATTTTAATAAAAACATCATAGGGATAGTAATAAATTAATATGAGATTTTTGTATGTCAAATCTGATTTGAAGACACAAAGTCTCAAACGGAATTTTATCTCAGAAACTTCTTTCAAATAAGAAAAGAATTTCCATTTTGGTGGTGCTGTCTTCTAGACACACTAAAACACACATTTTGGGATTTCTAAATTGATGATTCTCTGAGAGTAATACTTTTAGGCTAGTGCTGTGCAAAATCAGTTTTCGATTTTACGGTTCCGCCACAAATGTGGCAGTATCGACGAATGCTAAGTATAATACGGACAGAGCTTACGGAGAACGAGTACGTTTTAAGGGGAAAGACGAACTTATACTTACAATCAGAAAGAGAGAGTTGAAATTTCGGGACCTTATAAAGAGGAAGGACGGCCTAGAGAATTTAACCCTAAACACGTTGAAGGCAAGAGAAAGACGAGAAACAGCTAGAACCAACTTGATTTTTTAAGAATGGACGGAAGACAAATTATGAAAATGGACTACAAGGGGTCAATGTTTTGTTAGAGAAACAAAAGACAGGAAGTTGTGGAGAACCATGATCGCTCACGTCGATGGTCGAAGTAACTGCACATCTCCAAGCATAAAAAATATTTGTACTTGAATGTGTGTCGAAAAGTGTAGATTGTGGTTAGTTGATTGATTTGTTTTTTTACGGCTTATCAACATTACGATGGTTATTTAAAACTAGGGAACATTTTTAGATTACAAGAAGATTTTGGAAATAATAATGATTTTACTAATTAACTCATAACTTTGTGGGGGGGGGAGCTAGAAAAGGTGCATTTCTGGCTTTCCCTAGAGTGCTTGCGCGAAAATGAATATAACGACCCCGACTGGAATTGGAACTTGACTCTCCGATGTTCAGTTCCCTGTTATTATCCAGTACACTACTCACACTTACAGCACCTGGTATTCCCAAGCGGTCACCCATCTAAGTACTGACCAGGCTCGTCATTGCTTAACTTTGGTGATAGTACGAGAAC